CMWSAASAMCASAASAAGTAAACTAAGGATTCTTCTCCCAGTGAAAATTACCTATTTGAATTAGCATCACACATGTCCATTCAATACTATCTGTTCCAGAGTGACTGTATGCAGGTCTGGATCATCTACTACCAACTTGGAAGCAATGCAGGGGGGCATTCTTTCTCTTGTTCAAGTGAATCCAACCATGCCCRTGATGGACCTCCATCTATTCCTTGCCAGCACTTGTCCCTGCATGCATCATTGACAGCAAAGGTTATTCATAATTTTTGGCAGAAACTACAGAAGAATCCATTGCAACGGCAGATTCCTCAATCAAGCAGGAAGAGCCTGAGAAACTTCCAGGGTGACATATGGGCAGTTGTGGCCTTCTTTGACAAACTGAAAGAAATAAAACCTCTGCTGTTTTGTTATTCATTGAAGAAGAAAAGTGCAGGTCAACCAGTAGCAATTATATGGAGCATAGCAGAAATGCAGAGAAAAATTTTAAGGTATTCATCTACTCTGTTTTTTGACATGGGAAATATCACAACAAACAATTTAGGCTGGAATTATTTTGATCCCACAGTGTTGGATTCTGAAATATAGGTGAGAGTTGATGCTGAGTGCATCTGCTGCGTTGAGTCTAATGACATGTACATCTGGGACTGTCACAGCTGCCAAAATTTGAATACAACTACAGCTTGGCACCAAACAGGTTTTTCTTTGCAGATCAGCTAGTGACTGGAGATCTGCTACAAATGCTGTCAAGAATCACAGACACCACTTGTAAATTGAGAATTAATCATCATCATTCTTTTCAGAGTCCATTTCCAGATTTCTTTGGAAAGACTATGGAACCATCAAACTGTCAAATCAATATTAAAACAGTTAGTCTACAGTTAAGAAATACAGTTTGCTGATTTTGGGCTACCTTTTCATTGTGTTGTACTGACTAGTAGATTGATTTTTGAAAACAGTTGCATTTTTTCAAAAAACTAGTAACTGCTCACCATATCAGGCCACCATCTTTCCCAATTGAAACTTAGCAAGACAACACCTACTCAGTTGTTTTGTTCCAGTAGTATTACCAGTATATGTGGTCAATTGGGAGGATGAGTGATGGATTCTCCCCTGGTACTCTGAACACAAAACATCAATCACATTTCCTCCTTACAGAATCAGTTGAGAACAATACCTCCTGATGAGGTCAACCCTAGCAAAAATTGGAGGATATTGCAAAAAGGAAGCAGCAAAAGAAGCAAACTGAGCAACTCAGAACACCAGACTTCCTTTTTGAAGAACTACACAAAGATGTATACAATCAATCCAACAACAGCTCCCCAGACTCAGTGACACATGCTCCAGGTCACTATTTGCTCCTCTCCATCCAAAGCAGAGGACAAAGTAAAACAGGAGGAACACAAAGATAAAGAAGGCAAGGCACAAACAAGGCTCCTTGTTTACAAAGGACAAAAGGTGTGTGCTTGTAAGCCTGTGCTGCCAAAGCGCAAGGTTCCAATCATACAGGGCAACATAAGGCAAGGGAAGTAGTAGAGTCAATCAAATAATAGGGAATTGATCAGGGATCAGATGGAACAAGTGGTTCCTTGAGGTATACAGGACTGTAACAAAGAGGGAAAAGAACTGCTCCCCTTCCACTAGTGTACATGTGTCAAAGAGTTAGCCTACAATGAATGGGGGAGTCCTAGCACTATGAATCTGTCCTTCTTATGGGATTCAAAGGACTATCATGATGATCAATATGATAAGGAGGATACAGATCCAGCAATGAAGGAGAACAAGCAACTGATTCAGCAACCAATTCAGCAACCGTCTGGTCATCATAGCACCTCTTCTAGTTCATGAGATTAAACATAATAGTAAGATTTTTTTGATACTGTTGCTGATACTGTTGGTGCTGATAAAGTGTCAACCAGGGGGGGGGTTCACTGTTGTCAATTTGTTGCCCTCTTGATTGTAGCTGGTGGGAGTGATCTTGGCATTGTCAGTGGGGGGCTGTCGTGATTATCTGTCAATTGACGGAACAAGATATACATCCACTAGTAGTATGAAGGTAGCTTGAGTACATGGTGTTGGGGACTCCTCTGTTCCCAATAATGGACAGATAGTTACCTGGCTGCTAGCAATCAGTATTGGTACAGCATCAGATGTGGTGATTCAGGTAAATATGTTCATCAAGAATATATTTCTGACACAACAAGTGTAGTTGGACAAAAGTCTTGATGGATGATATTGGCGCATGTGACTTATTTTATTTAGGAAAAATAGCAAAAATTTGACAACTATTTTGTTGATTTGGGGGCCAACTCTATACAATAGTCCTGACATACATATTACTTCTGATACTACTAGTACTGCTGGAATACATCATAAGTAGTAATTGTAGCACTCAAGACTTTACTACTTTTATGTGAAGTATTGCTAACATTACCTAGGGTTTGATCCATATAACCCTTTGTAGAAATTGTAGCTGCAATGTGGCAAGAAACTAGCTTCCCAAGACAGAACAGTCCCACCTTTCAATTGCCCATGATCTGGTAATAAGAACAAGGTGAGACCAGTTTGTTCCAGATCCTTGGAGAAGTACACAGCAAATCTCAGTGTATCATCCAGTACATCAACATGTATGCTGTTGGTAAGATCCTCTTCCATACTAGTAAATGATGGCATGGCTGTCTTCACTTCTCCTACTCATTATGATTTAACATTGACACCTGTATGAAACTTACAATGTCTCCTCAACTCTCAAAGCAATCCATGCCTTCTTACAAATTGTGTCCATTATTTCATTGAGCTTCATGAAATGATGCTTCATCAATGCCTCTTTAAGTTGTTGGGCTGGAAGAGGGATGGTCAAATCTTTGGCCTGAAGCAATCATGTGGCCTGATTCACCAAATGGAGCAACTTGAACTTGGGTATGAGTATGAAGACGTCTCTCAAAATGCTTCTGGTCATGATCAAAGATATAGTTATATTCATCACAGTAGTGAATTAGAATGCGACCTCCATTGGTGTTAATTAAGAATGAGTTCTTAACACTTGGGTCATCATCATGAGGCCTTCTGATGATAGCCATCCAATCCTTGTTGTCATCCTCTTCACCTTTATCATTAGTACCRGCTATTTCATTTGGCATTTGGTCGCAGTGATAACAAGCCTATTGCACTACTGTTGTTTACTTTTCTTTGTATGTAAGAGCTTTGATGATGATTCCTCTTTCGTAATTGTATCTCCCTTGTATTAGAGTAGTGTAAGAATTCTCTGATCAATTGAGATGGTGATTGGAACTGTCATTACACAACAATGTGTCCCACATGAAGTAGCTTCTCAAACAAAATCATCATCATGAAGAAGCTCCTCCTGTTTTATTATGGTGACATACCCCACTTCTATGATGGATATAATCACCTCCATGATGAAGATGCTCTCCTCCTGGTGTTATTRCTGGCTGATCAGTTGACACATTGGCTTGGCACTACAGCTTTGAGAAAGATTGCTTTGTGATGGCTTGATTTGTATTGGCTTCAATGGTAAATCATTGGTTGTTAAGCATCAACTACAACAGTAGTACACAGGTGTGTTCCCCAAGCTCCATCCTTTTTGTGGTGCTGATTTAGCAGAGGAGCTATAGATTTTTTTTGTACAGAGACAAAGTTCCAGTACTGGATTTGCAGTGTAAAAAATTGTATTTACAGTAAGTAGGGTTTGTAAAGTAGTACTGTACTGTACAGGGGATAGTACTTGTTGCCCATGGTAGGCAAGCCAGCCAGCCCTGCTGGAGGTTCAGAACTGCCATGCGTGATTCCCATTCATCTAGATTGACTAGATTTGATAGACAGACAGAAAAATAGACACCTACTAGTTTGACTAAACAACCTTTCAAAACTGACTTGATTCAGACTGGAATCTACAAATCAAAATTTCAAGTCCAGCATGTTCTTTCTTGTACCCAAGCATAGACCTCCACTCTTTTTACTAGTACTACTACTACTAGTCCTCATAATGTAACTATGAAGAAGATTCCAAATTCCAAAAAAATGGGCATGGTCAAGCTGGCATTTTATCCATTTTCTGTTAGTCTAAATTGTCTAAAATTTATTTAGATATTTAGTCAATATATGAATGGGAATCACTCAACAATAACTTACCAGTACAGTGCTTGCCTTTACTACTACTAGTAGGTTTTAGTACTAGTAGTAGTACTAGTAAATGTTGAAACTTCTTGTTTTAACCAAAAAATATCCAATTGTTGCTCCCCTCCCCAAAACAACAGCAAGCCCTGGACTGGCAAGTTAATGGCAATTATGAACCTCCAGGGCCAGCTGGCTTGCCTGCCACGCACAAGTACCCCCTGCACATTACAGCACTACGTATGTTCTTTTCTACAGCAAATTCAGTACTGGAACAGCATCCAATGCTGAGCCTCTACTGTACGTACTAAAATACCAAGCAAAACAACACTTAAAGGACGAAGAACAAAGCAAAACAGTTGCACACCTCATCTAGAGGCATTCATTCATATTCAAGCAATTTGCGTTTGAGGACACTGAAGGGACCAGTGTGAGTAGGCTTTGATACTCAAGCAGAATGCCCATTAACATACTGATACTCAAGGGACCGGCTTGCAGAGGAGGCTTCATACTCAAGGGGACTAGCATGCAGAGGCTTCATACTCAAGGGGACCAGGGTGTGGGGGCTTTGACACTCAAGCAAATGGTAGTATGCAAAGGCTTTGACACTCAAGCAAACAGCGTTTGCTGGTACTACTCAAGGGACTGACATGCAGAGGCTTCATACTCAAGCAAAACACCCATTAACTGTCTCTCATAGTCAAGGGACCAGCGTGTGGATCTTCCTATAGTACTCAAGGGACTGGCGTGCAGATGCTTTATACTCAAGGGACTGGCGTGCAGATGCATTGCTTTCTTTGCAGATACTCAACCAAGTCTGAAGGGTGCAGTGCCAAGCTAATATGTCTATTTACCAGCCAGCAATGGCAGGAGGAGAGCATATTCATCATGGACATGATGATCTTCATCACAGAAGTGGGGTATGTCACCATAAGGGTAGTGTTTGTAGGTACTCAAAGGAATGTAATCTTTGATTGAATGAATGATTTTGTATGTACTAGTACGAGACAAGTTTAACATTGGTTCTTCCAAAAAAGCAACAATCAACCAATTTATGAGACACTGATACTGAGAGCATGATGATTTGCTGATACAGAGGATCATGCTGATATGGAGGAGCTGCTAAGATGGAGGAGTACCCTGAAACAAGTTGCATACAGAGGAGCCTCTGATATCATGATACTGATGAGTGCCTTGATACAAGTTGCTGATACCAAAAAGCAGCTGGTGCAGAGGATGGTGATAGTATGATATGGAGGAATATGCTGATACAAGAAGTCCATGGTACGGAGTACACTGATATGGATTATGCTGATACAGAGGACACTGAAGTGGAGTATACTGATACAGAGGATATGATGATACAGAGGACATGCTGATATGGAGGACACGGATATGGATTATGCTGACAATAAGGAGACACTGATACAGATTATGCTGATACACAGGTCACTGATACAGAGCATGCTGATGCAGAGTATGCACTGATACAGAGCATACAATGATTCACTGATATGGAGGACACTGATATGGAGCACATGACCACACTGATACGCTGATGTGTAGGAGCTACTACTGATATGGAGTATGCTGGTACGGAGTACAATGATACAGAGGACACTGATAGTATGGAGTAGGACTGTGCTAAAACTAAGGACATTGCTGATATGGAGTATGCTGATACAGAGCATGCTCCCAGTTTTAAAACAGTGACTTTTTGATTCTGAAAAAATCAGGCAAAGCAATGGGTGAAATGGGCTCAGTTTCTGACTAATCCTGGCACTGCCCTAAGCCATTCTCCACACCACCAGATTTCTTTCAGAAGTTGATTGGCAATTTTTTGAAGGTTTTTATTGTTGTATTGACAATTAATATAACATATTTCACCTGTAAAGATGAGCTAAAATTTTCTACTAGCATATGTATGGAAATTGCCAATAACTTGCCAGTACGGTACTTGCCATTTTTACTAGCTCTATTCAGGAGGGCACGTGCTTAATTGAAGGTCTATTCGGAAATACCAGGTACAAGTTTAACTTGAGTAAAATTACACCTAGAATTAACGCAGGAATTTTTTTGGCCCACTACTACTGTAACTTATGCATACTAGTTCTAAGCCGCCAGAACATCCTTAAGCATCCCAATGACTTGGATCACTAAGTAATTGCATTATTTTGGTCTGGGCCCTTAGTCTGGTGCTCTAAAGTTGTTTTTTGATAGAGTTCTGGCCTATTTTCTAACTAGCAGGCGCTCTTGTAAACCGGCCAATTTTGGCCATACTGTGTATTAGTGGAGAATCACCCCCCCTGGCCCCTAATCATGTAACAATGACACATGGGGCTATTCCCATCAACACTACTATAAGGAAGCACTTCTTCTCCCCAAAGAACAGCTGCTCTCAGGCAATACCGGAGCAGTTCTAAATGTCCTATTACACTGTTTGTGGTCAGAAAGTGACCAAAAACTGGTAGATCTATGTAGGATCAGTACTAAAATACGGTGCCCAAAATTAACCGTGATGCTACTACTAGTAGTAATAATTTTTGGTGTTTGAATAGAATGCCTTTCTGCCATGTACCGGTAGGACGTGGTAGGGTTCATACGGTTAACGCATTTTACTCCGATGAAACTCGTAGTGCCATACCGGTGGTTTGTACTTCGTACTGAATGTAATGCAGCGGTCGTAGGTACGTACTAGTACGTTCGTACTGTGCGGTACAGTATCTTCTCCTAATCGAAGTGGTAAATTTTGATGGAAACATTTTTTCTACCGGTACGCCAATCCAAGAGGTATCATCTTGATAATTTGTTTTTGATTGGTGGTGACATTCCTTATGGCTCTAGTCTCCAACCAAATCAAAACAACTATCACCGTCACATAATCAACTGCTGTATTTGATCTCCTTAAAACAATAAGGCCGACAATCCTCACGATTGATATCATAACTCTGTTGTGGTTGGATCATACGAAATGCAGGCCCAATGGAGGACAGAATAAAAAAATCAGTGGGACGCCCTCGCAGTACACGAGGTAGACTCCACGACAGTGAAATGCCTCCTCCTCCGCCTGTGCCCAATACAAATTCTCTTGTGTCTGGACCGATGAAGAGTGTCGAAGGCTGGGTAATTTTTGTGACGGGAGTTCATGAGGAAGCCCACGAGGACGACATCCGGGAAGCCTTCTCCGATTATGGGCGGATCAAGTCGATCGTGATGAATGCCGATCGAAAAAGCGGCCTTGCGAAAGGCTATGCTTTGGTGGAATTTATAGAACGAAACGAGGCGCAAGACGCAATTAATGCACTCCACGGGAAACCTCTGCTTGGTCAGAAGATTGGTGTCCATTGGGCGTTTTGCAAGTCCAATTCAACTAGATAGATAAAAGCAGAGACATTTTTAGACAACACACCACAAATTTAGGTGTTTKACTTGGTTTATAACTAATTACCACGATCTACTGTAATGGSAGTTCTCTACTAAAGATCTGTTTTTGGATGATTTCATCATCCACGCTCTAGCGTCTCCATCTATCATTGCCTCCTCGGTCAGAGCGGCCTTCATAGCGACCTCCACCAGGGTAACTACTACCACCGCTGTTGCCACCTCGAGATTGGCCGTATCTTCCACTGCCTCCTCGATCATCGAATCGRCTGCCACCACGGTCACGCTGTGATGGGGGAATGTATTTGCCACCGCCAGAACTTCCGAATCGCGATCCTCCCCTCGAATCTTCATGCCGAGAGCGTTCATTCGCCATTCGATCGGATTCCTTCTTTCGTGCCGCAGCTTCTTCTTCTTCCCTCTTTCGCCTGGCTTCTTCCTTCTTTCGGCGCTCTTCCTCGGCCTTGCGCTCTTCCTCCTCTCTCTTGAGGCGTTCCTCCTCGTCTCGGCGTCTTTTCTCCTCGTCTGCCTTTCGTTTGCGCGCTCTGTTCAGTTTGTCTTCTTCGGCTTGAATCTCGGCTACTCTGTCGGCTTCATCGCACAGAGCTTCGTGCCTGCGACGTCTACCTTCCATGGCCTTTTCTTCGAATGCCGACATGTGGCTAAAAACGTTATGGGAAGTCAAGTGCGCCTTGTCCTGGATATCAGACTCCCATTGCTTTTTGGCCTTTTCCACCCTCTCGACGTTTTCCTTTTCGTACTGCTCGCGATCTTGCTTTACCTTAGAATCGTACGCCTTTCGAATCAATGGAAGTTCTTCGATACGAACCGCACGGACCATGTAATCCAAATGTTTTGCGGCTTCCTTTGTCTTGCGTTCGGCGTTTTCCTTCTTCTTCTGAAGCTTTTGCTGGTGCTCCTTCTGGAGCTTGTCCGTATCCATACGAGAGACTTCTTCCGTTGTCATTGCATCGGTATTGTGTCCCATGGCTCTGAGAAGCTGCTCCTTCTTTGTGTTCTCCATTTCTTGTTGGATCTTCTTCTTCTTTTCTTCTTCGCGAAGAACTTGCTCTCGTTGGATGCGTTTCTCTTCCTCCAACTTGCGAGCGGCGTCCTCGGCGGCCGCCTGTTGTTGCTTGCGACGGACCTCCTCTTGGGCCTTTCGCTCGACCTCTTCCTTTCGCTCTTCGATGCGGGACTTGCGCTCCAGCAACCTRGTGTGTTCTTCGACACGAACGTCGCGAACGGTTTGGTAAATCTCGGCACGGGCCTTCGCTTTCGCCTCGGAATCTTCCGGTACGAGTGTYGAACAGACGGTTTCCAATTGCTGACCCAAAACGGTCAACTGCGATCGCATAACATCCGATTCCATTTGGATGTCCCCGAATCGCAAGCACCCCGCTCGGTGATCAATGCGGACGGCAAGTCCCTTGTGCGTTTGAGTGAAGAGGACGATGGATTTCTCGACGTTTTCGAACGACATTCCCAAACCATCGGCGAGGCCCTTGAGGAACTCGATCTTCACGGTGTGATAGGCGGAACTCAAATTCCATAATAGCTTCAAGAGCATGACACTCTGAAGAGGCTGAACATATCGCTTTAACTCAACGGCGTCTTCGGTGCCAGTCTGGTGTGATGCGATTTGTTCCAACAGAGGCTTGCCGGTTCCGACGAGGACAAGAGGATCGGAGCCTTGTTCCAACAAAAAGTAGAGTTGTTGCAGGTATCCCGGAACTTGTTTGAAAAGTCCCTGACTATTGATTTCATCCAAAAGCGATGATCGGGTGGGATTGCTCGTCGCAAACCCGAGCAAGGTTGCCATGCGGCCCATTCTCTCCTTCATTCCAGAGTCACCCAGGGCATTGGCTTCATCCGACTTCGATGGCAAGCTTGGAATGCACAAGGCTGCCAAAAGGACAGCACTGGCTTGTTGAGCTTTGACCTCTTCGCTCATACCCTTATTGTATTCCTTGCACAGCACATAGTATTTGTACCACGCGAAGGCATGGAACAAGTAATTTTCCGATACCCAAAACAATTCGATGAGCTGTTCGTAGTACTTGGCCATGAGTTTTGCCTTGGGCGGCGCAAAATCGGGATTGTTCTTTCGGCGGTGGTGTGAAATTTGCAAAATGTTGTAAATATCCTCGACCGTTCGGAATCCTTCAGTGTACAACTTGAGGTAGCTTGCGCTTTCCAGCTGAGCAAAGCGGGTCTGCAGGTGCAATTCGATCGAATCCGAGGTCCATCCCTCCCATCCTCGAACCTAAGTTGAAAGCAAAAGGCGGCAAATGAAATGTGATTGAATGAGTTGAAGAAAAGCAGCAAAGCAGATCTTTCTATGCATAGAATCGATAGGTAGTTTTTCGTAAATAAAACGGCAATACGCACCTTGCTGTTGGGTTTGGCTGAGGCGGAGTCATCTCCATACTTCTGGAGATTTCCCAGGTGCATTCGTAACAAGTCGCAGAGACGACGAAATTCCGTTCGTCGCTGGTAGGCCCGGCAAAACTGAAACGCACTGACAGACGTGGCGTGATACACATGCTCGAGCTTAGAATTGCTTCTGAGAATGTCCAGGATGGCTCTGTAGATTTCCCACAAAAATTTCAGGGAAGGCACCAGCAACAATGAATCCCGTTGGCTCTTAGCGGGATCCGTGGTCATGCTCGAAAGCAAAATCGCCTGGGGTCCGATTCCGCTTTCTCCCTCAGCATCTTCTGCGTCGGCATCCTCCAAGACCGACAGGGGGGTGGAACTTTCAGAGGCGGCTGCTGCGTCTGCCGCTGCCTTTGCCCTATTGCATTGGTCCTCTGCCTTTTCCAACAAGTATCGAATAACCTTTTCCAAACTTCCGGGGGCTTGGGATTGCGCTAGGTTACGATATTGGTGGAGGCCATCCTTTGCCTSGCGGGCTCGGTGTAGTTTCAGACACAGATTGAGGTAGGCGATCATGATTTGTTCGTAAACGGGAGACCACGTTCGATGCCTACGACTACTCAGGACATCGTGCAAAAGAGTCAATGCGGCTTCAGATTGATTGATTCCCTGAAGTTCCATGGCTCTTCGAAGAGCCAACTCGGGCTTGTGGAAAAATGCGTTCGACATGACGAATTATTGTTCGTAGTATTGCAAGTTCCTACTTTGGCTCTGACCTAATGTATCTGATAACTCTAATTCCAGCTATCTCGTTCTCTCAATTCAGAATGGATCGAATTCGTTGTCCGGTTGGCATTAATTATCGTCTTTGGTGAGTATCTGTTGCGAGAATGCAAACAAACAACAGCTTCCAACAACTACAACAAACACGCGGGAAGTCGTTGGTTGAGTTTCCACTGCCGCACGAACTCCAGAGCACTGATCCACCAGAAGGAAAAACGCGTGTGTAGCAACGCCGCACGTTTTATTGTGAAGCTCAGAACCTGTTAGGTCCCCCCAAACATATAGTCCCCTGTTCAGCCTAATCTAAACTCCCCCAATTCCGCTGAATTCTATTGGAAATTGGAAAATAAAAAATCACGAATCAGATAATCGTCAAAAACCAAAAACCAATTTTCGAATGCCACCGGAATCCAGGATCAGTGATTCCACACCGACAAGTTGCTAGGTAGTCATCCCAGACCAGATGAGTACAATACTTCAGCGTCGTCGTGCTGTTGGAAATGATGGAGATGACGACGATCGCTGYTTGGAAGAGGGCCATTTCGGAACAAATGGTAACTGCGACGACGATTGCAGCACGCAGTCGCAATGGCCGATAGAAGCATCGTGTTCCAAACAGTGGCGACGCCAATGGCGACGATCCAGTACGTGCAAGAAACTTACGATAATCTTCGTGCTCAAGAAAGTTGTTGTCGTCGTGGTATTCGTGATTTGTTATCTCTTATTTCAAGATAATGCACCGACTTCACCAAAACTGCCCATCCCAAACATCGATRTCGAGGTAACAGGTGCCGACGATTGGCCCCTAGTTCACATCGTCCAGTCACGGTTCATGCAGGAGCAAGGACCGCTGGAAATTCTTGGTATGGCTCGGTTGAAACTGTTCCTGACGTTTTGTCTTCCGAGTATGGTCCAACAGACTTCTCAGAATTTTCTTTGGATCATCAAAACGGATCCTCAATTTACGAAGACCTCAGTTTTTGATGTGCTAATCCGTTCGGTCCGACCGCACGACAACATTTATTTGGTGGCTTCCAATGCGAATTTTATCTTTGGTTCCGATGGRCGTGAGGGATCCTGGAGAGATGGGAAGGTGAGTGCGCATCTTGAGTTCGTTCCGTGTTTTTCTCAAGCCTCGAACCTCTGTATTGTTTTGGTCTTCTTCTTGCTACTATACCTTTTCACAACGGAATCTGTTTAACACCCAACATTTATCATAGGAAGCGAACGATTTGCTGCAATCCACAATATATACAGGTAATATCACCAAATTGCATATAGCCATGGCRCTACGCAACGAGCGACCGATACTCGAAACCAGATTGGATGCCGATGACGGATTGCACAAGCAATTCATCGAATATATACAGCRCACCGCGCTAAAGCGATTTCAACCATCCAAAGACGACGAGGATGCCGARGACGGGAATATAATTCCTCGATGGYTGTACTGGTGTTCGAGAAGGCATATTGAATGGCATTCGGATACGGATGCGTCCGTTCCCGACGAAGAAAAGAGAAGAATMGGAAGTCCAGGACTTGGCTACATGAATGTCGTGCAGCACAACAAGCTCTGTGTGACCCCTGGTATAACCGTTGGATACAATGTTGGTACTGACAAAAAATCAAACAACRTTGTCGACGTCCCGCAGTACGATCACGATAAGTTGTACAAAAATGTCCGGAATTCTCTTGATTGTTACAGCACAAACGATAGAAAAAATATCCCTGATGCAGCGGAGGACGAAACGAACGGTTCCTGTTTAGAGTTGGTAGAGGACTTTCTTTTCTGTGCGATCCGATCGCGAACGTGGACGTCAGCGGGTATGCTTGGTGTCAATCTTGTCTCTGACAACGTTCTTTTCGGTGGTGACGGCGATCGGCAAGAGGATTTTGGACGGATGGTATGGTCGTTTTCCGAGGATGCATTTAGTGTGACTGAAGCAAAGGTGGAGGAAACTCAAAGGTTCTTAATTGAAAACAAGAAACGCATCGCCCACGAAAACCTATTGGGGCAGTGCTCGTCTGGACATTCGTGTAAGGATACGGCAAAAAAAGAGTTGCAACAAATTATTGACGATCTAGAAAGGAAGCACAAGGGATAAAGGGGAAACAAACGMATTTGTTAAAACTAGCAAGAAAAATGAGTATCYTTCTGCCGTTGTCAAGGAGCGATACTCTTATTTTGGGCTTTCACCAATGATTTGACTTGGAAAGCTCAATCGTATCGTATCAATTCCACGAGGCAAAAATTCTCATGAATAATAAAAGTGTTGCTTGTTCAATGCATTCAGTACTAGTTTTTCAATAGCAAAACCTCTCGAGATCCATGGCTATAATCGTTGTTACTTTGTGTGAATCATTAAAGGATATCAGGGGCTCCACATTCCCATATTTCAAAATTCGTGCATCTACAGCAGAACCAACCCCACTTCGCTTGCTTTCATGCTMGGGGATGACCAGTTGTAAACGTAGTACTGCAGATTTCCGTCACCAATTCCAAACTTCAAGTCCGTTAGAAATTCCTCATTTTCCATCAGAGTCAAGGCATTGAAAACGTCCGTACCCGTTGCATTCGCCAAAACCAAGGCATCCTTCATGAGATCTGTCAAACTCATCGATGTAGCAACATTGTAGAATGAATAGGCTGCATACAGTGTTTCGTTCTGGTTGAGAATTGTCGATGGCAAGTGATAAAAACTGACCATGTCGGTAACCTTTGAGTTGTCATCTACGTCCACCACTACATAAGTGTTAACTACGGCGTTCCGGGGCAACAGCCAATGAGCTATTTCTTCTTTGGTGAAATTGACGTGCAACTTGAACTTGGAATCCAAATAGTTCGTCAATAGTTTGTGTACCCCGTCTACGTGATCTTCCGTCATTTCTACAAGATTGTGCTTCGGGACATCGGCTACCTTGTACAATTTTATCATTCGTGCCATGGTCATCCGAGGATTTATGCGGGAGAATCCAACTTTCACCAGCTTCTTTGGGTTCAGTGAGCGGTGGTAGTATCTTGCCGAGGCAACGGGAACCGGTAATACAACTCCGGCCGTATAAACAGCCTGGAAGACACCCTTTTGATTGACCCGGCGTGTAATTTCCTTGATCAACACCGGTGCTAATCGCTTGGATCGGAGCTTTTTATGAACGCACAAAAAATTGATTTCGACAACATCCAGATTCGACTTCGACTGCACTTTCACATTAGCCGGAACAGCCGATATGAAGGCCACAAGTTTTTTGCTAGAACTGGCACGCACTCCCAGCAAAAGATCATTGGAATATCCCGGAGGGGTCAGTGCCCACTCGAGAAATTCTTTGGAATAATCAAAGCGGAACATACAGTCGTCGTCTTCTACGTAATTTTTGGCCAGCAAATCGTAAAGTTCTTCGCGCTGCTCGGCATCCATTATGTCCAAAGTGCTCCATTCGAATCCAGAGGGCATTTTGTACGGTTCCGCACGGATCTCGTCTATGGTTTTGTCCGGTACAATCGGACCTTCTGGGAGGCTTGCTTGGTCTCCTTGCGCCATGGGCTGAATATTCGATCGGTAGGAGGAACAAAGCATGGGGTATGACAAAACTTTTGAGGGACGGAATTATGCGCTTTCTACTGTAGACAAATTATGTAGGTCGTTAAACGGAACGCACCTGTGTATCCCAAAACGCGTGACTCTTTTCCTCTAAGCCTTCTGTTGAAACCCCATTTTCTCTCAACATTTGGAGCACTTGGTTTGAGGTCTTGTTCTTTTCTTCGTCATTGGGACTCATAGTGATCTAATGTGTGTAATACGAAGTAAGAGGAATGAGTTGCTGTAGACTTTACAAAGGTGGGAATGAATGAATCAGGTATTTGCCAAGAAATCTGTGGTTGGTTCGTGATTTTCTTATATGGCAAGAGTAATCGTTTCTCTGATGCTCGGCTGAATCTGTGGCGTCTCCTTCGTTTGTACAAATAATTGTGTGTAATGGCGCTGCCTCCATGAAATTGGTTTGAAGTTGTCGTGACCATGAACCGCCGCGAAATCGAGAGGCGGTCGAATACTGTCGGAACGGATCAACTCTCTCACACTCACCTCACTACAGGCCGATCTCGTACAGAGAGTTCACCACGAAGTACGGCAGTTTCCAACATCGTAATTGTCTTACGTACCACCATTAGGCAAAGAAATGACAAGCTCCAGGAAAGATTCGTTGGAGGCAAATCGCGCATACACGCGCGTAAGAAATTGCAAATTTGAAATTTGTATTCCAATTTTTCCCAAAAAAAATCC